TTCTTTTCTTCGATCTCCTGTTGAGTTTGTAGGTGTTCCGAATGGTTTGATCCCTATCCAGCTGAATTCTGAGAGGAGACGAAATCCAGGTCTCCTACTCCTCCGCCATCTTGCTCCGCCCCCCCGTATTTTCATGTATCATTTTTATTTATCTTTTTGTATCCTTATATTTTAGATTTGTCTCTTGTAAACAATATATGGTTGGAATTTTTCCTTAAAAAAAGAACTAATCTGACATTCTTTGTCTATTAACTGAAGTATTTAGTCTATTTACATATAATAACTGACATTCGTTGATATTTTCTATTTGTTCCCTGTTATGTGTTTTTCTTTTCCTTTATCCTTTCTTGTCTTTTGGGGGAATATTTAAAATATGTCGTTCTATTTCTTCTTCTACCTCTACAAGCTTGGAAGTTACACTCTCTGCTTCTATCATTTTTCTGGCTACCCTAGAAATTTCAGCAAGTAAACTTAATTTATCCAAGTCTGAAGTTAAGCTTTATTATTTGCCCTTCTCTCATATATTATACCCAGAGATAGAATGGCTGAATCCCAAGATATGCCTGTCTTTCACTTTACTAGATGAAGCCAAAATGATTTCCAAGTTTTTGGACCAAATTACATTGACCCACTAGACAATGGTGACTGTTGTTCTGCATCCTTTCCAATAGTTAGTACTATCAGACGTCCCATTTTCTTTGCCAGTATGATAGGTATGTACTGATCTCTAATTGTGGTTTTAATTTTCCTTTCCCAGGTTACTAATGATGTTGAGCACCTTTTCGTTTATTGACTGAGATTTCTCCTTTGAGAAGTGCTCAAGGGTATTTTGAACCCATTTTTTTTATTTTTTTTTTTAAAGATTTTATTTATTTGAGAGAGAGAGAATGAGAGAGAGAGAGCATGAGAAGGGGGAGGGTCAGAGGGAGAAGCAGGCTCCTTGCTGAGCAGGGAGCCCGATGCGGGACTCGATCCAGGGACTCCAGGATCATGACCTGAGCCGAAGGCAGTCGCTTAACCAACTGGAGCCACCCAGGCGCCCTGAACCCATTTTTTTTGAAATGGTCATAATATCCAAGAGGAACTGGGTACCAGCATACATGCATAAGGATGTTTGTGGTATCATTGTTTACAATAGTCAAAAACTGGGAATGACCCAAATATCTATTAAATAAATAGTGATAAATTCATACCATGAAATACTATACACAAATGAAAGTTAGTGGACCACAGCCACAAACTGGAACATGCATGAAACTCACATACATAATATTGACAGAAAGAAACAAAATATTAAAGATATTTTCTTTATGTTTCTACTTATGTAAAATTCGAAATGAGAAAAAATTGAAGCTATATTGTTTAGAAACTATAAAAGTGAAAAGAAATGACTATGAAATCAGAATAGTGGTTATGTCTAGGAAAGAAAGGTATCGACTTTGAGATAGACACACAGAGGGGCTCCTCGAGTATTGGCATTGTTCTATTTCTTGACCCGGATGGCAATAATAATGGGTGTTCACTTTATAATTACTCATTACAAAACAGCATGTTTTAGCACTTTTCTGAATGTATTTCATATTTCAAAATTTTTAAAATGAAAAAAATGTGTTATCTTCCAAAATAAATGGCAACATTTATGTGAATATTTCAGTAGTTTCATTGTTTAGCCCTAGAAATTCTTAAATCTATTTTACTACAATACAGGATTAGGAATAAAAAGAATATTTAACTAGAAATGTTACTGGGGGTGCCTGGGTGGCTCAGTCATTAAGCGGCTGCCTTCGGCTCAGGTCATGGTCCCAGGGTCCTGGGATTGAGCCCTGTATCGGGCTCCCTGCTTGGCGGGAAGCCTGCTTCTCCCTCTCCCTGTGCCCTTCCCCCTGCCTGTGCTCTCTCTCTCTCTTTGTCAAATAAATAAATAGAATCTTAAAAAAAAAAAGAAAAAGAAAATGTTACTGGGCACAAATTCATTTCCCTATTGAGTATTACATATAAAATAGTTTATCTTGGAGATATATTAAGGATTATCTCCCTGTATTTCTTTCTTCATCTTCTCATACACCATTAGTGTTTTGCTCAAATAACTTCAAGAGCAAACTTGAAGAGACACCAGATGCTACAGCTTATACTTGAGTTTAAAGTCAGTCTGTTGAAGTATAATTTATATGCAGTAAAATTCATCTTTTTTAGATGTACAGCTCTATGAATTTTGGCAGTTATGTAACCACTACTACAATCAGCATATAGAATATTTCCATCGTGCTAAGGCTGCTATTTAATCTTCTATTTTGTTTCTATAGTAATATGTGAATAAGGTAAAAATTAAAAAAAAAACACACAAAACCCTTCAAACAGATATGTAATGTCGGATTCCTGCCTGAAAGCTTTTATCAAGTTATCTGCAGGGGTTAGGAACAATCTTTAATGATTCCTAAGGATTGTTCCCTGTCACTGTTGCAGGGCCAAAAATTTAAATTAAGAAATGGTTTGTAGGGGCGCCTGGGTGGCTCAGTCGTTGAGCGTCTGCCTTCGGCTCAGGTCATGGTCCCAGGGTCCTGGGATCGAGCCCCGCATCAGGCTCCCTTCTCCGCGGGAGGCCTGCTTCTCCCTCTCCCACTCCCCCTGCTTGTGTTCCCTCTCTCGCCATGTCCCTCTCTGTCAAATAAATAAATAAAATCTTAAAAAAAAAAAAAGAAATGGTTTGTATCACTGTCTAGCAAGCAAGGAATGCCTTTTATTATCATAATTAATGCGTTGTATCTGGAACAATTAACAGTTAAGGGTCCTTTCATTTTCTGTGCTATATACATAGATCATGAGGAACGAGCTCTTAGAGAAGCACTACAAACATGGAAGCAAGTTTCTGACTTCATTTCCAGATGGAACAACACAAATATTGTATCCTTTCAACAAGTTGTTTTTATTAGCTTTATTTCTTCACAGAAAAAGAGAAAAAAATATATAGAAAACTATAAAGAAAAAACAGATATTACCCAAATCCTACCACCCAGAGAAAAGCTATTAACATCTTTTTAATATATCTTTCCTTTTTTCTATGAGCATATATATAATTCTTTAAAAATTAATTCAACTCGTTATTCATATCTTTCAACTTGCCCTCTTCGTATAATATTAAATAGCAACGTTGAGTATATCATAAACAATAAAGATAGAAATACACCACCATTTTTATAACCACAAGGTATTTCATTATAGGGATGTACCATAATTCATTTAATCTAACCACAAAGGCGGTTTCATAATTTTTTGCCTTATATACAACAGCTAAATGAACAACTTTTTGCAGACTTTGTTGCATACTTATCACTTATTTCCTTGAATTGAATGTCTAGGGGTAGTAACTCTGGCTAAGAAATTACAGGCATTTTAAAGCTTTGATAGATTTTGTCCCCCAGAAAATGTGTACCAGTTTACACATCCATGAGCAGCACATTATTTTTTAATACAAAAATTCAATATCCATTTTATGGAACACTAAGTTATTCATCACTTGAACTTCTGCCTGGTGGCCAAGGCATTTGCTATTTTGACATAAAGGCCATTTAATACATCAAGGAAAGTAAAAAAAACAAAAAACAAAAAAACTATGAAATAAGGAGAGCTTTTTGGTGAATGAAGGTCCCACTTTTATAGGAGAAAGTCATGTTTAGTTTTAGTTTCCTAAAAGTTTAGTCAAACCCCAATAATCAACCAGAAAAATGACTTTCATGGCATAGGAAGTATACGAAGTTTTTGTTCAGGCCCCATGAGAAAAAGTGTAGGTTTTGTCTTAATTATATCAATAAATTTTCCATAACTCCCCCCAGATTTTATTATTAGTTATCATTTCATGCCCTGGCTTTAATTCTTAATTCTCCTGAAAGCTTTGGCTGCTTTTCAAAATGACTCAATCTTGTGTTTACTTTTCTTCTGGGCTTTGCTGATCAGCTTAGAAGGGACTGAGTATTAACAGTAAATTATCCTCAGTAGACTTTACTCATTTTGATGCTATTGTAAATGGAATTATTTTCTTAATTACATTTTCAGAATGTTCACTGCTAGTATGCAGACGTACAATTTAATTTTTGTACATCGGTCCTGTAGCCTACAATCCTGTGGAACTCGTTTGTTAGTTCTAATATATTGTTTTGTGGATTCCTTAGGATTTTCTATATATAAGAGTAGGATAGTTTCACAGCATTCATTTCCAATCTGGATGGCTTTCGTTTCTTCTTCTTTCATAAAATTTCCCTAGTTAGACCCTTCAGTGCAATGTTGAATAGAAGTGGGGAGAGTAGACATTTTCATTTGGTTCCTAATCCTAGGGGGAAATCACTCAGTCTTTCACCATTAAGTATGATTGATGTCAGCCATGGGTTTTTGTTAGACACTATCAGCTTGAGGGGTTTCCCTTTTATTCCTAGTTCATTGAGTTGTTTATCATGAAAAGGTATTGGATTTTGTCAAATGCTTTTTCTGTGTATATTGAGATTATCATTTTTTTGCTCTTTATTCTATCAATATATTTCATTGATTGATTTTTAGATGTCAAGCCAACCTTGCATTCCTGGGATAACTCCACTTTGTCATAGTATATATGTTTTTTTATATGTTGCTAGATTCCATTTGCTAGTATTTTGCTGAGACTTTTTGCATCTTGTAAAAATATTTTGATCCCATAAAAAGCATAAAATTATTTTTGTAATAACAGTAGCTCTCATTCCAGAATGGTTTCAAAGTCTCTCTCATAAATTGAATTTATTCCCAGAAGGACCATTAGAACAACTCAAATGACCTTATCTGATCTCAGCTACCCATCTGGAAACCTAGCCATCATCCGAGTGCCCAACAAAGTAAGTGGTTTCACTTGTATAGTCCAAGAAGACATGCCAACTGACCCTGCGATCCTGGCATTGCTAGATTCTTCTGGCAGAAGTTCCTGCTATCATCCCAATGGAAATGTCTGGTAGGCTTCTAGGTTTCTCCTGCTGCCATTTGGGGGGGGGGGTGGTTGTGAAATTTTACTTTTTCTTTTATTTTTTCCAACTTTATTGAGATATAATTGACATATAACATTGTGTAAGTTAAAGGCATAAAATGTGTTGATTTGATACACTTAATATTGCAAAATGATTATCACATTGCATTAGCTAACACCTCCATCACGTCACATAATTATCACTTCTTTTTTGTGTTGAGAACATTTAAGATATACTCTCTTAGCAACTTTCAAATACACACACACACACACACACACACAGTATTATTAACTATAATCTCTATGCAGTACATAAATCCCTAGAATTTATTCATCTTATAGCTGGAAGTTTTTTTTTTCCTTTCAAATGATAAAAATAAAAATAATTTAAGAATTATTTAAGTTAGTGATCTTTAGATAGTAATGTTCAACTCAGAGAAAATTTTTATTTATGTCATCCCATTTCTTCTCAGTGGAAAAATCCCAGGCAACTATGTAAAACAAAGCTCATGATATTCTTTCTATAAACTGTAAGAAAATATGAACTTTGTGATTTCAATATTAGAAAAAAATCTCTAAACAAATTATATGGTCACCCAAGGGATTTGTGATAGGAATCCAGGTGGTCTCTCTAAGAGCCTATGCCTGTTAATGTTATACTACCTCATCTATGGAAATAATTTACCATGGATAGCTGCCACACTGTGTTGTTATAGTTTTTTTTTTGTGTGTGTTATGTTTTGAGATATATCTATAACTATTCCAAGATTCCTATAGCCACAACCAACAATAACATACAAACAAAATCTCGGCAGATCCTGATCTTATTTTGATCTACGAACTTATCTATTCTGTGACTTTGCATTATTTCATTTAGCCTGAGGAAGTGAAATTTGGGTTCTAACTTCAAAGGCACTTCCAACTTCCTGAGCTTTTCAGAAAGAGATACTATTCCCCTTTAAATTATTTACAGGAATAACAATCTCATCTTGAGAAATTCCATTCATAATTGACAAAGTCTGGACATTCTGCCAGTATTGAGAAAGTTAAGACATTTGTGTTTTTCAGGTCTAATGCAGTAGTCAGTCCATTAACCCTATGTGTAGTGGAGAATTTCTATTTATCCTTTCGGGGTTCAATAGCAATTCTAGATTACATCTGGTCAGGTACTGTATTAATTGTCACCAGATATCCATTGGTTTCTAGAATATTTGCCCTCTCTATGAAGTCCCCTGACCCACTAGCTGGATCCCTGGTCCTCTGATGTGACTTCTGCATACTCTCACTGCCCCTTCTAGCTGCCTCTGCCTTTCGTATAGCAAGCCCATCTCCGCTGCTGGCCCCATGTTCCTTGAAGGCATACTCTGAATCTTTGCCACTACCAGCATGTATCTGTACGTGATATAGACTCAAATAATGTTTATTAAATGAACAATTTATCTACATAATTTTAGCCAAGTATTATTTTCATCCACATTCCAAGACAAAAGGAAACTTCCTCCTCCCACATACAATAAGATCATCACCTCGATTTCTCATTTGCACTTTTGGTATTAGATTACTGCCATTAATCAACAGTGGGGAAATAAGATATGATCTTACTCTAGGGCCCCTCATGGCCAATTCATCTAGTTTTTGAAAAAATAATTTATTATCAAATTCAACCACCTTTCTAAATACCTGGAACTGGGTATTTACCCTATTCCTTCTCCTCAAGAAAGCAATGGCGATCCAAGTTGGAAGAAGGTGAGAGAAGAGGAGATAACTAAGTAGAATGGCAGTCCTTAGTGCCACTGGAGCTCAGACTGTGCTGGGCCTAATATGTATGTAATGTAGTAAAATGTGGCATCAGCTACACCAAGAGACTGGGGAGACCCCATTAGTCTAAGCTCCACTTTGTGCTCCATCACAAGGCTCTTCACTGGCACTCTGAGCCATCTCAGAGATGTTCCCTGAGCCTCTCCTGCCCACACCTGGCCCTGATGAGAGTCCTCCTAGAAGGACTCCTGGCTCCCAATTGCTGGGTACTGTTAGAACACAGCTGTCCTGTACTGAGGCCAATGGGGCCTTCCCCAAGACTTACAGCCACTGGTCTTCATTTTGTCCTGGGGAAAATCTAAGCACTGGTATTCTCCCCTCTTCAGGTACAGCCTGCTCGCCTCTTCTGCATGTCTTCTTGTCCAGACTAAACCTTCCCTGCTCCCCCTTCATTCTCCCCAGCACACAGTTTTCCAGATCCCTTTATGATCCCAGTTCTCTCTTTGGGACCCAGTTTGGTTTATCAGTAGGTCTTGGATTGGATCCACCACTTTAAATTAGTATAAAATTCAGTCACAGTATTATCATTCCCAAGATTACCTGAGGTTTTGCACTATTCGTATGCTGTTGGCTAGCATTAACTGTTGCTCCCCTTGGCTAGCAAGCGACAGGGCTAATTTTAAGGTCGAAGTATAATGTTACTGTTTATAATTTTTAATTTCCTTTCTGCCCAGGGTATACATCAATATCTTGGGAGGTCAATACTCAGATCAAGCTGGCAACAGAATAAGGGCTTGGAATTGGTCCAGTTCTGTCGCTTCCTCACCCTTTGTTTCATTTAAACCTGTCTTTCTGGCTTTGAACCATTACATTGGAATTCGCATCCTAGAACAAGACAAGATTTCAATCACTTTTCTAGCAATGGGCCAACAGGCAAGAATCAGCGTTGGGACCAAAGTGAAGGTAGGTACATTTTTGAAAACAGTTCTAAGCATTTAGAATAATAAGAGTAAATGACTTTTGTTAATGTTATTACTGACAGATTATACTTGCGTGTAATCTACTGTCCACTAAGAGTTTTGGAATTCAATGAAAAAAACACATAATGAAAATTTCATATGGAATTGAGGTAACCTTTTTGTTTGTTCTTCAGAAATTCCTTTTAGTTCAGAGTGGATCCAACTAACGTTTACTGTGTTTACTCTGTGCCCAAGTAGTGCTACTTTGGGGGTTTGGTTTTAGGATTTTGTATTGTGTTTGTTTTTCCTTCGTGCTATAGCAGAAAGCCCTGGGCTGAGTCAGGAGACCCAGGTTCTAACCATGTTCAAGACCAAGTATAAGTCCCATCTCCTTGGAGACACTTCCCAGACCTCCTAGCCCTTTGCCCAATCAGGGTCCGGCATGGCTTTCCCTAGGGTATCCATGTACTCACTTCTGTCCCTGCACTTGCTGGACCATGCTGCCTTACTTGCCCTTGGGGCTGCCTTTCCTACCAGATGGTGAGCTCCAGAAGGACAAAATCTCTGCCTTACTGATTCCTCTACCCCACCCAGGGCATGGCCTAGAATACATTCTCAGTAACTGGCAGTGTTTAAGAACATGGCCTTCAGGTTACAGGGACATAGTTTCATACCTCAACTTTGCCACTTAGCTAAGTGGGTGAACTTGAACTTCAGTTCCCTCTTCTATAAGATGAGGATAATGATTCCCACCAAATAGATTGCTGTGAAGAGTCAATGCGAATGCAAAGTACTTCGCATGGTGCTTGGTACCAAGTACTCAGTAAACGATAGCTCCATATAGAGTTTGTCAATTATATGTCAATAATGTTGAAATATATATAGATATAGAGATAGAGATAAATAGAGGTCTATGTAGCTTATCTAGTGTGTGGCTCTGAACAAGTCCCTTAAACTCTGAAACCCTTTGTTTCATCAATTATTAAAGGAAGAGATTGCTCCAGATTTCAAAGGCGTTGTCAACCTCGAAAAATTCTACACTTTTAAATAAGTGGAAATATAACCTCAATATTCAGCACAGGCAGGAATATCTCATAAAGACCAAACAAAAGGGATACTTCGGAGTCCGCCAACAGAGAGTGAGGGTCTACAATGTGCTCAGTATTATTCCAGCCACTTTTGGTCAATCTGGCTACTGCGGTTAGTGGTTCAGACTCCAGACAAACTTCTTTGTTAGAAATCTATAAGATAGGCTTCTTTTGGTACATTACATTCATGGTGAATGCATTCTTAGCAAAAACGTAAAAAATGTTCCCTCTCTCTCCCCCCTCACTTCTTAGAAAAGAATTTTAATCAGAAAGTCATTGTGATGCAAAAAAAAAAAAATTGATGTTAAAAGTTTTTCCATTTCTCATTGTCCTCATGTTCACCCTTATGTTAGGTTTTTAAAAATTACAAAAGTGATATGTTAAATACATTTTCATATTTAAAGATTCAAATAATATAGAAATAGAGTAAAAAATCGAGATTCCACTTTCATCCTTTCATCTATTCTAACCCCTTTCCCAAAAGTAATCACCACCCCAAATTTAGTATTCCTCTATTCAGTGTATTTAAAAATTATTCCTACACATCTCTTTTAAAATAAAAGTTGAATCCTATTGCTTGTATTGTTGGGGGGATTCTCTTTGTTTTTGTTTTCCACTTAAGGAGTATTAGGGGTTTTTCCATGTCTACATTTCCAAGCATATTTGTCTACTTTATTTTTAATTGCTCCATAACGTTTCATATGCACTATAGTTAATTTATACCACATAGAGCGGCCTCCCAGTGACACGGGCCAATTATTCACTTCCTCCTCCTGGAAGCATTCCTTGCCTTGCTTCCAGGACACTGCTCTCCCTTGATTTTCCTTCCACCTCGGGGACTGTTCCTTCTCATTTTTCTTTGCTGACTCTCTTCACCTCCCCATTTTCTACATATTGAGGGGCTCCAGGCCTCTCCCTGGGGCTCTTCTTCATCTCCCTAGATGGTCTCATGGAGTCTCATTCCCTAGGTGGTCTCATGGAGTCTCCTGTCCTTAAATACCACCTCCATCTTGATAACCCTTTCATTTTCTCTCCCATGAACTTTTAGCTTGCACATCCCGGATTTCAACCCTGCATCTCTGTTTGCATGTCTAAGAGGGCATTAAAAACTTAGCCCCTGAAATTACATCTTAGAGCTTGCCCCACCCTCAGTCCTCTCCACCTTGGACAATGACAACTGCGTTCCTTCGGTGCTCAGGCCACTTTGGAGCAGTACTCCCCCTCTCCACATCACAGCCTCACATCTGTTCCCTGCAGGTCCTCTAAACCCTACCTCCCATACAGCTCCGGTCTCAAACCCTTGGTCTCAAACCTTCTCATGTCCTCCCATACCATCCTTCTTGTCTGCCTCTTGGGCCGAGTCCATCTCTTATTTAAATCATTATAAGAGCTTCCTGAGTCTCCCTGCTTCTGGCCTTCCCCAGGTTGACTCTTAAGGCTCTGTCGTTAGGAAATTCAAGATGTTGACTATCTTCTTGGCACGTTGTGCCTTCTGCCTTGGGCCGGCCTGATCTTCCACCTCACGCACGTATTAGCTCTTCAGCTCTGCCCATTACAGGGCTCAGTGTAATCAGTAAAGTTCTTTGTTTTTATTTTGACAAATAGATTATAATATTATCAATATGTATTATTCCCAATGTCCCTACTAGTGACCTTTGCCTCAAATGCTGTTCTGTATGATGTTAAATTGCTACACCTGCTTTCTTTTTAGTTAGCATTTGCTTGGTACATTTTTTGCATCCTTTGATTTTCTGTGTTTTTATACAGTTTTAAGTTAGATGTGTCTCTTGCAAACAGTATATAACTGGATTTTGTTGCTTTCCCCAACCTTATAGACTTAATCTTTTAATACGTTTTATTTTAATGATCACTCTAAAATTAACACCTCTTTTTTTCTATATGCACAGAATTTCCAAGTCCTCTAGTTATTGCTTCTCTTTGACAACAATAATTCTCTCCAATCCCTCAGAAGATATTTACCATATATATCCCAGAGTCTTCCTCTGGCTACTGTCTCCTTGAGTATTGGTATCTCTGATAGGTAAATCTGGCCTCTCTCTCACAGCCTCAAATTTCCTCAGATATTTGGTGATTCCTGGTTGCGTGTTCATTTTGTATTTGAGAATCCCTGCTTTCCTGCATGTTCTGCTTACTGAAGTTTGTTTGTGGGGACTGTGGGAAAGCGGTATGCGCTGTTGAGGGCTAGAAGGCTAGCCCCAGTGCCAGACTTCCAGCTCCAGCCTGTGCAGCCTGGGGGCACGGGGGTTGAAAACGGGAACACCCCCACCCACGTAAGGGCTGCCTCCCAGCTGATCAACTGATCCTTCTAATATTTACCTCAGGGCCCCTCCTCCTTCTCACTTCTGTTAACTTTGATCTCAGGATGTGTGTGTTTGGGTTCGTGGTTACATTTGGTCATTTATCTCTCTATGGATATGTCCCATCTGTTTTTTGATATTCAGGAATTCTGTAAGATTATTCCTGTTGATCTAAATCTTTTCTATTTCCTAGAACCATTATTGATTTACTCTCTTAAAAAGTTTTCTGTGATTCTATGGAATTCGGGATTGAAGGGAAGTTAAAAATGCTGGTCCATTCTTTGTTACTCATCCGTCTCATACTCCCTCCCCGTCCTTCTGTCCCTCCCCTCCC